TAGCTTAAGTCTTATACAAATCAATAAAAATTGGGAAGTAATATGTTTAATATGCCAGTGTATTTTTCTAATGTTGTAAGGAGGGACAGGTCCTTGGAGAGGGACATCATGCTTGGGAGGGTGGAGGGACAGCACAGGAGGGGAAGGCCCTCTATGAGGTGGATTGATTCAGTGACTGGGGTAATCGGGATGGGAGTGTCAGAGGCAGTGCGATTGGCACAGGACAGAGCAAGGTTTAGAACTGTTGTACATAGGGTCGCTATGAGTCGCAAATGACTCGATGGCACATAACAACAACAAATGTAAATACATAGTTAAGTATCATACTGTTTATCTTGTTAATACAAAAAGTAAATATCATACTGTCTTTTATCAATGATTCAATTGGGTGCAGAAGAGTTCCATGAGAAGTTGGTTAAAGATAGTGTCTCCTAGAATGCACCCTGGGGATTCTGATTCAGTCAGAATACAGGGACCTCGTCCTATAAACCCACTGTTGTCAAGTCAACTCTGACTCACAGTGACTCTAACAGGACAGTGCAGAATTGTCACATAATGTGGGAAGTCAAATTTCATACCATATGATAAATCATATGCTTAAACAGGAATTGAAGGAAATACAAAACATAAGCTGAAATTTCTTTTGTGACAGATCACAGGAAATGAGTTGCTTCCTGCAGATAAGAGGCAGCTAGGGTCCCCCTGCAGAGGGAGAGTCAATACATATGAACTACTTTCTTTCTGAACTAAGCATTAGGTTGACAATAGAGAAAACCCCGGCTTCATTTACAAGAGAATTCTCTTTATTACTTACTCCCCATGATTCTCAATAAATACACAGAGAGGTGTGGCTTGTGGCATTTCAGTCCTTGGAACAGCTGGCCCCCTGCTATTACGCACTCTGTTTACTTATACATTCTTGGTGTTTGGTCTCGTTATTAATTATTCATCTATTTTACCCTCGGTCTGCAACACCATGAGTTTTCCAAAGCTGTAGAAATTTACAGAAGCAGACTATCTCCCATGGAGTAGTTAGTGCATTAAATCTGTTGACCCTTCAGTCAGAAGCTCAGTGCTTAATCCACTGCGAGACTACAGCTTTTTGTCTTTTTTGTTGTTAATGTGTCAACTATGACTCATAATGACCCTATGAGCAACAGATCTGAGCCTTGCCCTATCCTGTGCCATCCTCACAATCTCAGATATGCTACAGAGCCCACTGACAGAGTCACTATGTCAATTCATCCTGTCGAAGGTCTTCCTCTCTTACTCTGGTTCTCCACCGTTGCAAGCGTGATGTATGTCTCCAGAGATTCACTCCTCCTGACACATGTCAAAAGTATGTGAGAAGAAGTTTCACCATTCTTGCCTCTAAAAAAACACCTTGGCAACACCTCCTCCCAGACAGACTTGGTTGTTCAGTTGGCAGTCCAAGGGTATTCAGTATTCTTCTCCAATGAGGCTACGAGTAGTCACACGGGGGAAAAAATCTTTTCCAAGTAAATCCTGGCTCACAGAACATCATACATGTTGGAGTAGAAATACATGTCACTCCATGTGATTTTCAGTGGCTGAGTTTTCTGAAGCAGATCTCAAGGCTTTACTTTGAGGTAATTGTGGATGGACTCAAACCTCAATTATTTCAGTCTCTATGCATCCTTGGTATCTATAAAATTAGACTATACCGTTCTCTAAGCTCTATACGTTCTTTCTCTTTTACCTTTGTTCTTGGAATTTCCTGTTTGAAGTACTCTTTTTTCATTCTTGCTAAACCAATGGAAATTAAACTTCTGTGTTAAGACTCATCTTAAATTTTACCATTATAATCAAGTACTTCAATATGGATGTGGTACCGCTCTCATTTCAATACTCTTATTTCCCTTACCAATGTATTTCTGTATGTGAATGGATGCATATCATATTCAATGCCACAGATGCCCATCTGTTTTTATTCTCTCTCCTTGTCTATAAAGGCTTAGGACATGAGCCCTCTCTATACTATACCAAGTAGAGATCCTCTTAAGTCATTTTATGCTTTGCATGTAATATTTATGCATATATTTGCTCAGCTAAACTTTACTAAATACTGAGTTAGTTTAATAATTTTTGTTAACATTCTTAAAGTCATACAGCATAAAGAGTACAAAAATCAGCTCAGAACACATAACAAATTAAACATGAGGTTCTAGGTTACTCAGCTTCATCTGCAAAATGAGAAAATTGGAACTATATCCTATATAAAAAACCAAATAACTTTAAGTTGTTTTAATTTTTAAACAGAGGTGGGGGGAATAGAAGTTTAAATGCCAAATTCTGTTTTTAAGAAGAAAAGGAAAACTGCTTAACTTAGAAACTTTCAGACAAAAGTAAATGATCAAGTTATTCAACAACAAAGTGGGTCTTTGATACTTGCACAAAAAGCTATTAACTTGAGAACAACACTCTTACTAAAGCAAAGTTAATTGATTCTGGCAAAATTCTCGCTACTTCTAAATGATAGTTCTATCCAGTTTCTCTTTGCCCTAATGTTGGATATTACATTGAAATTTCAAGAACAATAATTTCTAAGTATTCTCTCAGTATAAAAACCAAGTAACTATTTTTATTCACGTAATATCAACAAATAATATTTTTGAATCTTGGTTTTTGTAATAATGACTTGATTTATTTCTATTTCAGGAGCAACGTCTGCTTTATTGTTTTAGGCATACTTATTTTAACTTAGAGAATAAATTCACGAAAATCAGGAAGCAAGATTTTTAAATGAAACCAATTAGCAAAGTCAATGTATCATCTGAATTTGTATATTTTAGCACATATATAATGTTTCTATAAAGACAAAGAATTGACAAAATAAAATACACAAACTTACACACTAACTACAAGTGAAAGAAAAAGAAAAAATAGAGCCTATTTTTTGTTTTGCTCATTTGGTGTTCCAGGTTGAAAAGGGCAAAGGAGAAGATGACAAGTGTGAGAAATGAGGACTAAGCGAAGAGTCTCAAGTATCTCATTTTCTCCTTTCCTCCCTCATTTTTCTGTCATTCTCCTGTTAAGTTTCCTCTTTTACATAGCACATCAAGTAAACTAAACCAAGCATGTGTGAAACTTTGGATTAACTTTTAAATTATACTTTTAGATTGATAGGAAAAATAAAATTTCAGCTTATTATGTCCATTTTCCAGAATAAAATTAGTTGGAAGAAAAGCAGTAATAAGTGACTGTTATACCCGAGCTTGTTGGAAAGTCCTCAAAATGATCCTCATATAGGCTTTATTTGCTATAAAATAATAACCTATAACTATAGCTAACCATTAAAAAGCTTATCCAGTTATGCTTGCTTGTTTCACAAGCAATCTTTTCTAAGATACCAAGATAGACATTAAAGCTGTATAAATGTTTCAGTAGTACTCAAGAAATCAGAAAAATGCAGAAGTTTAAAGATAAAGAGAAGACGTTAAATAAATATATTTCAAAGACCCATTAAATAGATCAGAAAAGCTAACCAGAAAGTAACAACATTACTCACGTGATAAAACAATTCTGAACAATCCAAAAATACCAATTCTCTTTTAAAAAAAAAATCAAAGCAGCACTTGGACTAACAAGAAATAATGCACAATTTTGTTTGATCAAGTACTTCATTAATTTTTTTCTGCCCCTAAGGGATTGCCCTTTTAAAATCTTCAAATAGAATATAACCTAATTGCGCACACATGGTTATAGTTTGCCAAGGGATTTTTACTTCAACAGTGCCACCTAGTGGATCAATCCGTTTCTTTCACCTAGTTATTTGGGTGCCAGGGAGTTAAATCCTACTCCTAGCAATCTTCTCTGACAGGGTGGAATTACTTTATAGGGTTTCCCAGACTGTAATCTTTATGGAAAAGATTACCAGGTCTTCTCTCCCAAAGAGCAGTCAAATGGGTTCAAACTGCTGGCCTCTAATTAGCAGCTGACCACTTAACCACTGTGCCACCAGGTTTTCTTCAATTGGTTCTTAGCAGATTTCATTTGTTTCAAACTCTAGGATTCTCCCACAAGTATTCTTTCTTGGTTCACAATATTCCTAATAATATTCGTATTCAGGGTGCAACCATTATAAAGAACTATAATTTACAGATTGTATCTTCTGATAAGCTATTTACTTATTACAAAAAAATTGAGCCACTGTCCAAAGTTTAGCAGGGCAGCAAATAATAAACCATGGAGAGGATGTGGTGAGATAGGAACCCTTACACATTTTTGGTGGGTTTGTAAAATGGTACAACCACTCTGGAAGGCAGTTTGATGTCTTCTCAAAAAGCTGAACACAGAAATTCCATGAGAATCAGCTATTTCACTGCTTGGAATATCCCAGAGAAAATTAGGACTGAGGCACAGAGATTTGTACACCAATGTTCACAGCCATTGCAAGAACATGGAAACAGCCAAAATGTCCAACCATGATCAAACGGGATTGAAAAAGTATGGTACACTCACTCAATGGAATACTATGCAGCACACAGGAGCAATGGTATTGTAAACTATTACCTAACTTGGGAGGGACTGGAGCACATCATGCTAAGTGAACTCAGTCTCATAAAGACAAATACTGTACAGGCCCATTATTGTAGAGCATGCTCGAGGACCCAAAGCGGGGACGGAGAGCAGAGGGGTGAGTTAGGATGGGTGGGTGGGGCAAAGAAGAGGCTTAATCACAGTGTTGCACAATATGACCAGTGGAGGGAGGAGTAGATTAAGGAAAGGAGAAGGATCCGGTGTGAAAAATGTATACAAATTTTGTAAGTAAAACTGTATAAAATTATTTTTTTTAAAAAAGTTAATGGGAAAGATCTGGTGAGAACCTGAAAAGACAGGTTAATGATGGGCATAGTCTAATGGCGATTAATTTTCTAAAACATGATACATGGGAATGATTGTATTAAACACAATGTGAACAAAGAATTAGTGTGGGGATAAAAGATTAAGCCATTGTCAAATAATCTTAAAAAAAGTACCTTAGTGATTTCTTCAGAAGCTCGTTTGAAGTCTTGAACATTTCGACAGTAAAATCCAATTGTACAGCTAGGATCCATTTTTCGAAATGACATCTTTTTGGGAGAAGGGCAATGGAATGTCTGTAATGTTAAAAGTTTCTTGAAATTAATTTCTCTTCATTTGAAGGTCTTAAATACATACAAGTATGATTTCATTTAAAATATGCTATTTCCTCAAAACTCTAAAAGTTTTCATATGGTATTTTTGTCCAGCCTACACAGTTGGTCCCTTCCACTCTCCAAAGCTATATAGAAATTGGGAGCACCAGCATTTTGCATATTCAGTTCATCAAATGTACACATTATACTGCATTAAGGTCGTTCTAAAAAAAAGAAGTATGTCAAAAGTTATATGGAGCTGCAACACTTAAAAAGAGAAAGTTTAAAACACATTACTAAAAATGGCACACATACACTACACAAAGGAAACTCTGGTGACTTAGTAGTTAGGAATTACACTGACAGCCCACTGGCATGCAGTTTAAATCCATCAACAGCTCTGTTAAGAGAACAATGGGCAATCTTCTCTCCTGTAATTTACAGCCTCTGAAAACTTGTTGGAGAGTCAATTACAAATTGATTCCAACTCAACAGCACATAGTAACAGTGAGCTAATACAAAGTTTAGAATCAAATTCACTATCTCTACAAAAGCATCATTAAATCTGTCTTATTGGAGTTTGATGTTTAAAAACTTTTTCATATCAGTATCAAGACTTTTTAAACAAGTTGTTGTTGTTAAGTGTGGTCGAGTCGTAGGCAACTAATAGCGACCCTATGAATTAAAATCCTTGACACTTTGCATGAGTGACTTTCATTCTTTCTCCAGGTTCATAGGGTTTCTGGAGGCAAGCTATTTAATATATTTTAAACAAATACATTAAATTAAAATGTTCTATTTTAATATGAAGTCAAGAGTTTTAGTAATTTATCTAAGTAGCCTGATCCAGGCCAGTCTTTGCAATTAACTGCTATGCATCAGAAAGCTAGACAACAACTAGGGATGATAGAGGGTGAATTGGTGGCTTTGAGATGTAGTGCTGGAGAAGAGTATTGAATACACCATGGACTGCTAGGAAAACACACAGGTTCGTCCTAGAAGAGGGTGAGATGAGACTGTTCCTTGGAGGCTTAGGACGTGTTGCAAGGCAGGACCAGTGTTTGGAGAAGGATGTCATGCTTGGGAGGGTGGAGGGACAGTACAGGAGAGGAAGACCTTCGATGAGATGGATTGATTCAGTGACAGGGGTAATGGGGATAGGTGTATCAGAGACATTAAGATTTGCACAGGATAGAGCACGGTTTAGGGCTACTGTACACAGGGCTGCCATGAGTTGCAGGCGATCAACGGCACATAATAAGAAGTAAATAATTAGGGAGCTCTGGTTGCCTAATGGGTAAGGAGTTGCACTAACATTCAAACACATGGGTGGTTCAAATCTATCAGTTGCTCAACTAGAGAAAGATAGTCAGCCTCCTTTCCTGCAATTTACTACCTCTGAAAACCTGCTGGAGGGTCAGATATGAGTTACTTCTGACTCAGTACAATAAGTTTCAGACTTTTAAAAAAAGTGTATCATTTCATCTTTTCAAATGTGATCTTTTATTTTGTTCAATGTCAAGTTCTTGTTTATTCCTATATGTGGCACAGAATGGAACAGGTGAAAATTGTACCATCAGGGTCATTTTTCTCATCAATTCTCCAATCTCTTTCATATTTTATCTCTGGTGGGCACAATGGGCTTAGTAGGTTTCCCGAGACTATATGACTACCTCATAGTATTTGGCTAGTAGTAGTTGTAAGGACATCAAAAGTAGAAAAAGGTAAAAAATATAAAGCTTCTCATGCCGATTTTTGTGTGGTTTACCACCATGCTTTGGTACTGTTAAAAATTAAAGGCAAAGCAAAACAGACTGCTTAAATATAGATCATTTGTCCCTAAAAGTCATTGATGCCACCAAGTTTCTTTCTGTACATGTAAAGAAGTGTGTCTTTAAAAAGGAAGTAGGGGAATATAATAATAGATATTAATATTTTCTAATACATGCATAAATAAACTAAGAATTTTAAAAATTTAACATTAGGGGAGAGAATTATGAAAATGAGTGCTGCAAAAAAAATTTTGTGACATATTTTATATTTTTAATTAAACAAGCAGCTCAGTTATACAACAACCTAGAATGGATATGAACTTGTAACATTAAAATTTTGCTGCCTTCAATGCCTAAAACCAAAGAATTTTAACCTAAAACAGTGAAAATGTGGGGAAATAAAAGCCTTCACTTTAAAGTAAATCAATCAGAATTCATCTCTTTCCCGCCCCTCTACTGATCCACCTGTTATTGGACTCTGACGCAGTATGACCCATGTGCACAGAGTAATACTGCTCTATTGAGTTTTCAAGGCTGTGACCCTCCAGAAGATTGTCAGATTGCCTTTCTACATATCTCTGGGTCTGTTCAAACTGCTAAGCTTTCAGCTAATAGTAGATAGAGCACTCAGCTATTGCCCTACCCAAGGAACCCTTAGTTGAAAGAGTGGCTATTTATTTTACCTAAACAGACAAAAACTACTTTAATAAATGCTTTAAGATGTAGTTAGGCGCGCGCGCGCACGCACGTGTGTGTGTGTGTGTGTGTGTGTGTGTGTGTGTGTGTGTAGGGGGCGGGGAAGAGATAGGAGATAGCTGGGGCTTCACAAAAATAGACAATTTAAGAATGCCCTTAAATAGTACTCCTACCAAATACAGTTCTCTGGTATTACTCACAAAAGGGTACATCTTTCAAGGATTGCCTTACTTGTCTACCTATCCATATCACATATTTCAGTTTTAATGACACTATTCTTTATATGGGATCAAACTGGGAAGATTAGATAGGAACCTTAGAAGGCAGTGAAACTGTGTTAATAGGAGAGAGCAAATGCAAAAGAGAAAGGTGAAAATGGTTGTGCAATTTGAAGTATGTCATCAATGTCACTGAATTGTGCACAGAGAAACTGCTGAAATGGTCTGCTTCGCATGCTGCATTTTTTGTTGAATCACAACAACAAGAACTTTAAAAAAATACAGCATGTTAGTTTATGTATTTTGATTTGTCCTTGCACGAAATCAGTGCTCCACTTCTCAGTTGTCATCAGGAGTTGCCATGGCATAATCCCACTACTAGACTCAGAATCTAAATGTTACTTATCTTTACTTCAAGAAGCACTGGTGACATCATGCATTGTATGTTGGGCTACTAACTGAAAGGTCAGCAGTTCAAATTCACCAGCCCAGCAACTCATCTTGTCAGCTACCTAATGAAAGTCTGCTATGGGTCAGAACTAACTTGACAGTGGGTGGGTTTATTCACTCAGAATGTTAAAAACTCAGCAAAAATAGGTAAAGATGAAGATTTTCCCCAGAGTTTGGTGGGTAGAGGGAGTGAGTAAAGGAACTAAGAAAGACCCAGTGGGAACCTGAAAAGACAGGTTAATAATAGTGGGCATAGATCAATGGTGATTAATTTTCTAAAACACAATATATAGAAATGATTGTATGAAAACACAATGTAAATGAAGGATTGTGTGAAGCACAACGTATATGAATGAAACACAATGTATCTGATTTTTATGCAAATCAATGTAAAATAAAATTGAATTTTTTAAAAAGTTAGTATATAATAAACTTTATTTTAAAAGTCTCAGGAATTAAAAAGTAACTAATATACATATAATCAAAGAATTCTGAGCCACAAGGAAAGAGTTTTACATACATAGAAAGGTAAATATACAGCAAGAAGTAAAAGAAATAAGATCAAGTTGGTCTGATTTCACTTCAAATAAACAAAATTTAGGAAGGGTAACTCAAGAAGTACAGAAGTTTAAAATTCTATGAACAAAAACCAAAGATACAATGTTTAAATCTCCTCTCTAATCTCAAATATTCTTATGTCACAATACTTTCTTAAAATTTCACAATCTCATTGGAATTAGAGTACTCACTTAAAGAAACTGCTTTCTTAGCAATTATTTCTATGAAAGTGAATAATGGATCTAAGATTTCAACTTCTCTAGCTTTTACTCAAAGAGAAGTATTCATTAAAAAAACAAAAAACCTGCTTACAGAGAGTGAAGGAAATGGGAAAGATTTTGTGTGGAAAAACAATGTATTTGAAGGTTCCCATTCCAAAGAAGGGACCCAACAAAGTGTGGAAACTATAGGACAGTATCATTGATTTCACATGCAAGCAAGATTCTACTGAGGATTATCCGAAAACAACCGGAACAGCACATCAGCAGAGAACTGCCAGATGTCCAGGCTGGGTTTAGAAGGGATCATGGTACTAGGGATATTGTAGCTGATGTTAGATGGATCTTAGCTGAAAGCAGGGAATTCCAAAAGAATGGCTATCTGTGTTTCATTGATTATGCAAATGTGTTTGACTGTGTGGATCATAACAAACTGTGGCTGACTCTGAGAAGAACGGGAGTCCCAGAACACTTGATTGTTCTAATGTGAAACCTATACTTGGACCAAGAGGCTGTCGTCAGGACACAGCAGGGAAACACTGCACGGTTCAAAATTGGGAAAGGTGTACACCAGGGATGTGTCCTATCTCCATACCTTTTCAACCTGTATGCAGAACAGATTAACAGAGAGGCTGGGTTCTATGAGAAGTGTGGTGTCAGGATTGGTGGAAGATCACTGAACAATTTACATTATGCAGATGACACAACCCTGCTTGCTGAAACTGAGGAGTACCTTAAATGTTTGCTGCAGAGGGTCAAGGACTGTAGCCTTCACTATGGGTTGAGGCTCAAAGAAGACAAAGTTTCTCACCACTGGACCAATTGGCAGCATCAGGATGGATGGTGAAGAGACTGAGATTGTTAACTTTAGTCTGCTTGGCTCCATGATCAACACTCTTGGCACCAGTAGCCAGGAAATCAAAAAATGTATTGCGATTGGAAAGTCTGCTGTTAGGGACCTCTCTAAAGTACTGAAGACCAATGTTGTCACTCTGGAGACTAAGGTGCATCTGATACAGGCCATGGTCTTTGCCATCACTTGTCATGCATCAGAGAGTTGGACAATGACTAGGGAGGACAGAAGGAGAATTGATGCCTTTGAGCTGTGGTGCTGGAGAAGAGATTGAAGGTACCACGGACTGCCAAGAAAACAAACAGATTCATCTTGGAGAGGGTTAAACCAGGCTGCTCCTTGGAGGTCAGGATTCTGGGACTTCATCTGACATACTTTGGCATGTTGTAAGGAGGAACAGGTCCATGGAGAGGGACATCATGCTTGGGAGGGTGGAGGGGCACCGCAGGAGAGGAAGGCCCTCTATGAGGTGGATTGATTCAGTGACTGGGGTATAAGGGATGGGTGTGTCAGAGGCAGTGCAAACGGAACAGGATAGAGCAGGGTTTAGGGCTGCTGTACATAGGGTTCCTACAAGTCGCAAGCGACTCGACAACACATAACACCACCACAACAAAGAAATCAATAAAAAATAAAGATATTTAAAAAACCTTGCTTACAAAAATGCTTTGAACTGAGATTTGCAAGTGGTTTTAAAATGTGCACATTATTTACCACCTCAATAGAATGAAAAAATATCATAGCACATAAATGCACAACAAATATAACCCTAGGCAAGAAAGGTTAGTAATAAAAAGGAGTTAAAATATCTCCTCTTCCAACTCTTACAAACTTAAAATTTGATAAAAAATGGAGAGTGGAATTTTATTTCTGTACAAAGATGGAAATTTTGCTGTAATTATTTCATAAGAAAAATAAGTATGATGCTATTAATCTATATAAATAATCTAGATAAATCCCTATACTAGGAAAAAACCAAAATTTTAGTAGGAGTTATTCGGACAGGTTAAAATATTCTATTAGCATCTCAAAAAAGTAATGTACAAATCTAATTGTTTGGTGTTTCAAAGAATAAACTCTTCATGTATTTAATTTAAGAAGTTATCTCAGCTATTCAAAGTTCAAAGGGAGCTCTGATGGCCTAATGGCAAGATGCTATGCTGGAATCTTGAAGGCATGTGGTTAAAGGCCACCAGCTGCTCTGCAGAAGGATGGGCAATCTCTTTCTGTGCAATTAGCTGCCCCTGAAAATCCACCAGAGAGTCAGCTATGGGTCAATTCCAACTCGATGGGACATTAACAACAGCAACATACTGAACAATATCTCTTAAAATCAATTCTTTCTTCCCATTCTCACAATCTTACTTCAAGCTTAACATTCCTGGAGTGTTATAATTCTCCTAAGTATTGGCAACCTTTCTAATCTTGACTATGTAGACATAACCAAGACACTCTTTCCCTAGGCATCTTCCCAGAATCTATTAAAATATCAGAATAGAAGGAGTTCTGGTGGATTAATGGTAAGAAGCTGCACTGCAATCCTGAAGGTGCATGGCTCAAATCCACCAGATGCTCCATCTTCCTGTGCCAGTTGGATTTGACTCAACAGTACAAGAGAAAATAAAAATTAAAATAAAAAAAAAAAAACAACAAAAAACTAAAATCAGAATAGTAGTCCCTCTGTACTGGTAGAAACAATTAATGCTAGTAATTTCTTGTATGTCTTTTTTTCTAACAGACTCAAAAACAGCAACAATCTTAGGTATTATTCAAGACCAGACAAGGCTTCTTGTACATTCTTCTGTTGTACATTAGGTTACTATGAGTCAGAACTAACGTGACAGACCTGACAGCAACATTTGGAGAAATGATGAATAAATTAGTGCTGTTGTTGTTGTTAGGTTGCATGGAGTCAAGTACTATGCACAGCGACCATTTGAAAAAAGACCTGAACCCTATTATATCTTGTGCCATCCTCATCCTCTCTGACATACAAGAGCCCACTGTGGCAGTCACCACATCAATCCACCTGGTTGAGGGTCTTCCTCTCCTTCACTGACCCTCTACCCTTCCCAGCATCATGTCTTTCTCAAAGCAATAGTTCCTCCTAGCAACATGCCCAAAGCACGTAAGGTAAAGCCTCATCATTCTAGCCTCCAGTGAGCACTCTGGCTGCACCCTCTCCAAGACATATTTGTTCATTTGGCCATCCATGGTATGTTCAATGTTCTTCTTTAACACCACAACTCAAAGGCATCAATTCTTTTTCTGTCATCCTATTTACTGTCCAGGTCTCAGATGCATAGCAAGTAACTGGAAAGACCATGGCCTTAATCAGACACACCTAAATTCTCAAACAGACATCATTACTCCTTAATATCTACTCCAAATAAATCAGCCATGAAAAGCCCTAAAGAGCACAGCACATTTTTACTCTAATACAGATGGGCTTGTCATGAATTAGAACTGATTCCATGACAGGGGAGGTTGGGGCAAGCTATTATTAAAACAGTGTATAAAGCATATTTTCAACTTAAAGCTCTTGAGGATTGGGAATCCATGTTTGTTGCTGTTGTTGTTATGTGCCATCGAGTCGCCTGCGACTCATAGTGACCCTATGTACAACAGCCCTAAACTCCGCTCTGTCCTGTGCCAATCGCACTGTCTCTGACACTCCCATCCCAATTATCCCAGTAACTGAATCAATCCACCTCATAGAGGGCCTTCCTCTCCTGCGCTGTCCCTCCACCCTCCCAAGCATGATGTCCCTCACTAAGGACCGGTCTCTCCTCACAACATGTCCAAAGTATGTTAGACGGAGCCTCAGAATCCTTGCCTCCAAGGAGCCACCCGGTTTAACCCTTTCCAGGACAAATCTATTTGTTTTCCTAGCAGTCCATGGTATTCTCAATACTCTTCTCCAGCACCACATCTCAAAGGCATCAATTCTCGTTCTATCCTCCCTGGTCATTGTCCAACTCTCTGATGCATAACAAGTGATTGCAAAGACCATGGCCTGTATCAGATGCACCTTAGTCTCCAGAGAGACACCATTGCTCTTCAGTACTTTGGAGAGGTCCCTAACAGCAGACTTTCCCATGGCAATGGGCCTTTTAATTTCCTGGCTGCTGGTGCCAAGACTGTTGACTATGGAGCCAAGCAAACTAAAGCTGTGTACAATCTCAATCTCTTCACCATCCATCCTGATGCTGCCAATTGGTCCAGTGGTGAGAATCTTTGTCTTCATGACATTGAGGCTCAATCCATATTGGAGGCTGCAGTCCTTGACACTCTGCAGCAGGCGCTTCAGGTCCTCTTCAGTTTCAGCAAGCAGAGTTGTGTCATCCGCATAACGCAGATTGTTGACAAATCGTCCACCAATCTTGACCCCACATTTCTCCTCATAGAGCCCAGCCTCCCGGATAATCTGTTCTGCATATAGGTTGAAAAGGTATGGAGATAGGATGCATCCCTGGCGTATGCCCTTTCATGAAACAACATAAGAGCAAGAGCCTATGGTGATGAAAGAAGAAGTTCAGGCTGCTTTGAAGGAAATGGCAAAAAATAAGGTTCCAGGAACAGATAGTATACCAATTGACATATTTCCGTTAACAGAGTCTGCCATCGACGTGCTCACCAAGTTGTGCCAAGAAATCTGGAGAACAACCACTTGGCCTAACTGACTGGAAGAGATCGATATTTGTTCCTATCCCAAAGAAAGGTGACCCAACAGAATGTGGAAACTACAGAACAATCTCACTGATTTCACATGCAAGCAAGATTTTACTGAAGATTATCCAAAAACGACTGGAACAGCACATCAACAGAGAACTACCAGAAGTCCAGGCTGGGTTTAAAAGGGGTTGTGGTACTAGAGATATTGTAGCTGATGTTAGATGGATCTTGGCTGAAAGCAGGGAATACCGGAGGAATGTCTATCTGTGTTTCATTGACTATAGGAATCCATACGTGACTAAAATTTTCTAAATAAAACTACACTATCACCTATATAAAGGAAAAGAATAGGTCAAGAAACATTACTAAAAGAATTGTTCAAAACCCAACTGAGGGCTTAAAAAAATCCTTAAGTAGAAGCTAACATTAACTTACTGTACTTAAAGTAATTTAGCAAATAGTCTCCTTAAAGCACCTTGTCATTCTAACTCAATTTTAAAAAAAAAAAAAAAGTCTAACATTTTAAATTCTTCTGTTCCACTATCTATTCTATAAAATTACTTAGAGGCCTGATCATTTATTTTGGGGGCTAAAGTATCTAACAAGTTAGAGACAAAGATAAATGAAGTGTAAAATACATCATAAATTAAAATTCAGCAAGAAAGTGTTTAACCTTTGACCACTGTGCTGATTATGGTTTTATAAATCAGCAAAATATTGACCACTAACCAGTAATTGTAATATCATGACAGCATAACTACTAAGTGCATCTTGAGATAATTAGAGTTCATTTCATACAGTAAGAAAACAGTACTAGCTCTTTTTTCTATAGTACCTCAAGAGGGAAATCCTTTATGCTGACATCTACAAAAGATTGGCAGTAATGAGGATCCATGTAAATCAAACTGTCATCTACAAGGACAAAACAGAAGACAAGTAATTCAAAAAACACCTTATTATTACACTGCTTACAATCCAATTTCTATGTAGAACAGCTGAAAGAAAAAAAATCTGGGAGTAACAGCTTGCCAGACTGATATTCACTGACTGAAACATAGGTTTGCACAGGACAGATTAACTTTTGCATAATCAAATATGCTTGTATAAGCAGAATTTTTTATACAGTGATAAGACTGTCATTTAATTTTTGGGGATAAAATTACTTTCACAAACATACAATTATACTCTACAGTTTGCATATGAAAAATGTATTGCGTTACTTTATCCTGACAGGAAGAACATATTGCTTGTCATTTTATCATCAACTAGCACCACTACAACTGGTAAAAAAAGTAAATATGTAAATAGCAACTGCCACAATGTGACAGCAATGTCTTCTGAAGTTTAGTGAAACCAATAAATTATGCCTTGTTTATGCAATAACAGAAATTAAACATACATTTTACAGAATCTAATTATGTTTTGGACCAAATGACAAATGAGTGGCTATGCTAAGACTGATGAATATATAAGTTACTCAGTTTGCTCTGTTAATCATCCTATTTGCAGATTATCTCCTATTAACTTCCTGATTTTTTAAAGAAAACAATGAAGAAATATTTTGCCAAATCACTAACCTTGAAATCCAGCAAAGTAGTATGACTGCTTGGGTTTGCCACCGATAATACCCACACAATATTCAAGGCTTAGAATTCCCTGCCAAAAGAAATTCACTCAAATTTAGAAGTCAACAGACAAATGGTAATAATTCAAACCAACCAACTCACAACCAAAAAAACCCCTTACATTACCAATGTTAGTTATTTTCTAAATTTTTACCACCAGTTGCCATTTTTATTACATTTGCCCCATATTTTAAAATCCTTATCTACCATGTTGTCTTCCCACTTCTTTATCTTTGTATCACTCAAAATTGATAATCACTTAATATTCTGATTAGCAAGTAACTAAAATGGCAATGACAGTGCCAGATTCAGAAATAAGCAGTGTTACTGTATTGAACTAATGAAATGCCTGCCAAAAGCCAGACCACCACATTTTAGTTAGCTCATATAGTCCTTTTGTTATTAATAGGCTTTTGAAAATATCTAGAAATAAATCTTAGATCTTACTATTATTTTCGCTAAACCTTAAATCTTACTATCCCAAATTTTGGTGGTTTTTTTTCCCTAATCAGCTTGAGAAAATTTTCATCCCACTTCACTGGGAATAAATAAAAAAGAAATGAAAATTTTATTCAAGAATTATTATTTTTCACTAAAATCAAAATAATGATTTTTTGAAAGTATTTTACTAATCATAAAATATCAGCGAGAGCTCAGTAACTATTCTAAGCAGAATTCTATTTGAGGTGGGTCAAATAATTCTATCTTAAAAAAAAAAGCCAGTGGAGGAGATGTCCTCTTTCTCTTGAGAAGCAGCAGGTGAATACAAGCCACTGGCAATTCGAAGCCTTCGGGTCAGCAGCGTAATTCAGACTATAGCACCAGATTTCCCTCCATTTAAAAAATTATGATCATAACAGCAAAGAATTCCCAAAACCCTGCATAATATGCATTTATAAGACATTATACTAAGTGAAATAAAGTCAGAAAAGGACAAATACTGTATAAGACCGCTATTTCAAAAAGCTAAGGGAAAGTTTATGTGCAGCTAGAATCACTCTTGGATAATTACCAAGAATGAGAAGGGAGGAAATTGCAAGTCAAACTTAGTAAAGAGACAAAAGGCCGATACTAAGATGGGTGAAAGGAAAGGTCACATCCAGTAAGGGGATGCACAACATCACTAAAGGAGAAGACTCCAAGAGGTATAGGATTAGGATACCAGAACTACAGGCAGGAAATTGGGCAAGCACAAGGACACTGCAGTATTGAAATCAATGCTACTGAACAAAATGTGTGTATGAATGAGTGAATAAAAATATTTTCTTTGTAAACCTTCATTTAAATACCAACAAAAATATATAAAGAAAAAGCATGATCAGTCAGTCAATGCAGAAACAACCGCAGGGAGCTCTCTGGTAGTGGCATACACTCCCAGGAGATTCAATTAATGCATTCTCTAGGATTCTTACATTCATTTTAAAGCATATTACTTTAATGAAAGTGATAGCATAACCTCCAAAACAGTAAATAGTTGAGTTATCCTCTTAACTAAGAGAAGATATTACATCAAACAATAGTTAAGATGTCATTTCTTTAGGTAAGAGAAAATATAAACAATAATTAAGCTGCTTCTTTTAAATAAGAGAATACATTCTGATACCTAGTTTCAAAAACACAATTCAAACTCTTTATCACTGATTTGGAACTGTCTCATAGCTGACCCTCCAGCAGGTTTTCAGAACCTGTCAATAGCACAGAACATTACCCACCTATCTCCCTGACGCACCTGGTGGATTTCAACTGCTAGAAAGACACAGCCTGGCAGACTGAAAACTAAAAATAAAGAACTGTCTTTTTTCCTCAATTAATAAGCAAATCAGAGTTCTGTTTTTTTCTTTTTCTTAATTTTTATTTTGTTTGTAAATATCATACAGTCGTTACTACACACACGACCAACACAGAAATCAGTAAATGTTTCAATATTCCACAAAGCTCATCATTATTAAGACTTTGAGATATTTAAGATATTTTAAGATAATTAATCTTAATAATTAATTAAATTCTTAATATTCTCTATAGTCCATAAAATTAGTACAACTTTATATATAACAGCATCATACCACATATACTACTGTAATTTATTATCCCTCACTGTGTCATGAACATTTTTGCATATTAATATGGATCTATGTTAGGACACCTAATGGCTTTGAAAAATATTCTATTTTAGGAAAAGACCAAAATGTGCTGAATAAAGACTCCATTGCAAATTTTTTAATACAGAACGTCTCACAAATTTGCATGTCATCCTTGTAAAAGGGCCATGCTAATCTCAGTATCATTCCAATGTTTTTAGAATAAGTGCTGCTGAAGTGAGCACTCCATTGTAAACACTTAATTACCCTGTTTCCCAAAATGACTAACAACCCCTTGAACAACTAGGTATATTTTTCAAGCTTGCAAAAATATCAAGAAAAGTTTTAAAAAGGAAAGCTACAACTAAAAAGAAAAAGACCAGAATAAAACCAAAAAGGCACATTAGGCAAAATATTCAATCTAAAAAAAAACCAAAACAACTAAGATAAAGTAAAAAAAAAAAAACTCCACATACTTAATAGTAATTATTTAATATTAAAGATTCATGCTTTCTTCCTAAATACAAATCTTTATAACAAGAAAATACCTTCTTTTTAACCTGAGATAATCTGATCAACTGAAATTCCTCATTTATGACTTGGGGCCAATGAGAAATTAAAAGTTCTAAATGCCCCAAAACTGAGAGAAGAAGCGAGAGAGAATCAAGAGAGAAAAAGAGGGAGAACCGAGAGAGCTCTCCTTCATAAAGGTTCCAAATAGTGGAAGAAAAATTCTTGGTTTTGACATCTGTACTTCTTATACAACAAACTAGAGCAGATTTAGTAATAAACACTTAGAAGAAGATTAAAAACTGGAACATCATTACACATAGAAGCTGTAACTTCTTTGGTTAGCTTTAGAAACCCGAAACACTTTTTAATCTCTAAAAGAGTCTCAACAGTTATCTAGTGGTGAGAATTTATTGAACTGCATCCATGAAGCAATAAATAAAACTGAAGTAATCAGTCAAAAGAAAAGTCCTAATTTGTCCTGCTGAAGAAAAAGAACAAATTGGATTTTTCTCAATCAGTCTTTAAAATACAGAGATAAGTAAATAAAACTAAAGCACACACTAAATTTCTTTCTACTCACAGAATTGTGCCATTTCTAAAATAGTGTTGAACTGCTTTGATTAGCACATTTGAAGAAAAGAACTGAAAGATGAATTATAGAAATAATAATGTATCCTGGTTTGGTAAGCAAAAACCACAACTTCTTATAAAAAAATATTTTTTTTAAAAAAAGCACCCAAAGAAAAAAGATGATTCTTTTTCTTTTAGGTCTATCAGACACACTATTTTTTTAAGCATCTCTGTAAATATCTATTTATATGCTCTCCTTTTGGTTTTTAATCCGACCACCCATCCGGCCAAGCATAACAAATAACATATAACCTACTTCATTGTCCCATTTTAGTCATTTTAACAGTAATTGAAAAATTAAGATGTCTCAATGGCCACATCTCTGTATCACAGTCCTTGGAGAAGGACATCATGTTTGGAAGTTTAGAGGGTCAGTGCAGAAGAGGAAGAACCTGAGTGAGATGGATTGACACTGTGACTTTGAAATGGGGTCAAGTGTGTCAGAGAAGGCAGGGTTCACACCCACTGAACCTCAGGCCATGATGAATTGTGGTCAACTCAATAGCACATAACAACAACAGTCACAGTGTCTCATTTTAATGAGTTCCAGTGTAAATTAGTAGAAGTCCAGAGAAATATTTTAAAGTTCGTATTTTATGGAAAAATATGAAAAACAATGGACTAAGAAACAACCATTACTCTGCCACCAGCTTGCTATTTGAACCTGAACATGTTCCTTCTTTCTTTCTTCTGTTTCATTAAAAAAGCAATTCAGATCCTACCTATTTTAAGAATAAAATGAGGCACATTTATATCTAACATTTTATATAACTGCAAAAGTTTATTTATTAATTACTGTGTATTAGATGTTGACGATCATGTTAGCAGCTAACCACATAATATGTCTTACTATCGGTTCAGGCTGCAACAACTCAAGAGCATCATGCAGTCTTGTTATGGTGTTTAAAAAAAGACAGTACAGCACTGCCTTTGAGAGGATTCCAATCCACAGCAACATTCCACAGGGTTTCCTATGGAAACTGTACATTTAATGGGAACAGACTTTCTAGATTTCTCATTTGGGTTTCTCCATGAAGCAGCTGAACTGCCAACTTTTTAGTAAGTAGCCCAACAGGGAAACCACTAAAGACTATGAATTACCACCAAATATGAAAGGAATAAGTCAGATGAAACATGCAGTGAGGCCCATCGAGACCCAGGAATTGGAGTTTAGCTAACAGTACTATTTTCAATTCCATGGGATAAGAGATGGTGAGGATCTAGTTCAGATTTGCTTAGAACTTCCTAGAGACAATGTGCAAAAATTCTCAACAGGTTCTCTACATTGAGTGGTTCATATTTTCTCAAATTTGTTAAACAATACTCATTAGATAGAAACCAATACATCTTTTTTTTTATCAAGAGTATTTCTATGACTACAGCTATATTATGGCGGTCTAGGTAAGACAAAGCAAAACATTAAAACAAAATATGCAAAGAGCTGGAGTCAGAGAATAAAAAGAACTTACTCTACACTTCTCAAGTTGAAAAAATTGAAAATAAATTCAAGCCTTGAATTGTAACACTTAGAGATGATATAGGTAAAATCTTAAAGGATGCACAAAGTATCAAAAGAAGATGGAAGGAATACAGTCACTGTACCAAAAGGAATTCATGACACTGAAAAATTCAGGAAGTACCATATGAACAAAAACAAATGGTAAGAAAGGATGACATTCAAATGCACCTGAAAGCACTGGAAAAACATAAGGAACTGAATACTAATTGACATACTTCAATTAACAGATACAGCCCTGGGTGTGCTTACCACTCTATACCAGAAAATTTGGAGGGCAGCTTCCTGGCCAACTGAATCGGAAAGATCAATATTTGCTCCCAAAATAGTTGACCCAACTGAATGTGTAAATCATAAAATATCATGTTAGCAAAATATTACTGAAGATCATCCAAAAATGGCTAGAACAGTACACTGAAAGAAAGTTGTCAGAAGTTCAAGTGGGGTTTAGAAAAGGTCGTGGCACCAGAGATATCAATGTGAATGTCAAATGGATTCTGGCTGAAAGCAATGAATAGCAGAAGAATGCCTATTTGTGCTTTACTGACTATGCAAAGGAATCTGTTTGTGTGGATAATAACAAATGATGGCTAACACTGAGGAGAATAAGAATCTCAGAACACTTAATTGTGTTCATGCAAAATCTATACCTAGACCAGGAGACTGTAGTTTAAATGAACAAGGGAACACTACCTGGTTTAAAATTAAGAAAGGGATGTGTCAGGGTTGCTGTATCCTCTCTCCATATGTATTCAATCTGTATGCCAAGTAAATTATTTGAGAAGCTGAAGAAGAATGTGGCATCAAGTTTGGAGGAAGACTAATCAATAGCCTGCATTATGCATATGATACAACCTAGCTTACT